ACCTGCCCCCTGCTCATTTAATATGGCCCAGGTCAGCAGCAGGAGTTTAACTCCTCCAGACATCTGGGAACACGTTGGGCAGCAGCACAACACAGCAGGAACCCAATTTCAGGGCTTTTGGAGCAGTTGGATGTAAGTTTTTGGATTATTTCGGGGACTAGCTGCTGTATTTATAACAAAACAGTGGCAAAGCCCTCGGATCCCAGCCTGCAAGCACTGTTAGATGAGCACTGCTAGGGTCACTGCTGCAAGCAGGACACCTGGCAGCTCCCACCCTACAGCCCTGGCAGGCTCATGGCTTTTAGCAGGAAGTCTCAGGTCTGGGTCCTAAAGACTGCAGAAAGCTTGAGGATGACTTGAAACACCACATCACAGTGTCAGGGTGGCTCTAATACTTCTAGCAACTACCTGAGGATGGGATTATTAAAAAGAAAAGCAACAACAAAAAAAACCACTCAACACAAAAGCAACAAGAAACTTTCCCACCCCCCCAAAAAAAAACAAAACCAAAGCCAACAACAAAAGTCACACAAGCCTTAAGAGATAATCAGAGATCTAAAATACTGCAGGGGTGTGTTTATAAAATATAATTTCAATAATATAAATACAACAGGGGATATGAGCAACAAGTCACAAAAAGCAAAGCAGATTTTTTTTTTCTGAGAGTTGTTTTAGAAGTTTAAGCCATTAAATAAGAGGAAACATCTAAAAGGGACAGAGAAAAAAAGTTAACCCTGCCTCAAAATGCAGTAACAAACTTTAGAAGTTTAAGCCATTAAATAAGAGGAAACATCTAAAAGGGACAGAGAAAAGAAGTTAATCCTGCCTCAAAATACAGTAATTAAAAAAAAAAAAAAAACAGAGAAAAATGCTACTTACAATAACTGAAAGAAGAGTATCAGCAGAAGCAACAATGTGTAACAAACAAAAACAGAGAAAAATGCTACTTACAATAACTGAAAGAAGAGTGTCAGTATCAGCAGAAGCAGCAACGTAAGGAGCAGGACTCCTGTACACAGCTGTACTTCACTTTCAGCTCATTTGCTTTCTCCTAGCATAGCATCAGAGAGCTGCTCCATTACCTTGGTAAAACCAACAAGCCACTGGAGAGTCATTCAGTCAGGGCTGCAGGAAAACTTGCAGCAGTGCCCAGATATTTTTGCAGGTAAATCTGATTTTTTACACCAAGTTCACTTGTTAAAACAACAGAAACTTCCATCAGTACAATGCTGGATATTTGGTCAGTTAGGCGTTTTCAAAAAACGTGGCTATGAGCAATATCACACCTACCACTACCAACATCACAGCAGCTGCTTTAAGGAAGGTATTAGCCCGAGTTCATATTAAAAACGCGTTTTCAAAAGACGTGGCTATGAGCAATATCACACCACTACCAACACCACTGCAGCTGCTTTAAGGAAGGTATTAGCCTGAGTTCATATTAAAAAACATGTTTTGAACACTTATTTCCTGAAAAAAATATCTTAATTGGTGAAGTGTAATGTAATATGCTAAAACTAAACACTGCCTTAGGCATCAGGGGCTGTCAGAACCACCAAGGCTGGACTGGAAGAAAGTCCCAAGAAAAACTTTTGTTTTGTCTCTGCCTGCCTCCTATCTTCCTGCCTGCCAGAGAGCTGAGAGTAGAGTCGTACCCACCAGGCAGCAGCCAAGGCTATGGAGAGCCTTAGAAGTAACTTTAATGGCCTTTGGCAGAACAAACCTTCTCCAAAGTTTGCATTTTTAGTCTATTTCTAAGGTAGAAGTTGGTGATGGAGTAGCTTGTAACATGCCTCTGAAGAGGCAATGCTGGTGGATTTTGGAGCCAAATAGGGAATTTTATCCTCAAAGGATGAGAAACCAGCAAAAGTCTGAGACTGCCTTTGTGTGCTTTACAGCACTGGGCACAGGGGGCACAGAGACTGGAAGAAGAGATTCCAAAGAACAAAAATAAAGCAGAAGGGAGAAATGCCTTTCCAGCTGCCAATCTCCAGGCAACTAAAGCCCACAGCCCCCTCCTCCCATCCTCAGGGAGAGACAGACCAACTGCTGCAGGACTTACAGGAACTGATCCTGCCAATGACAGACACGACACAAGCCTCAAAAACCTTAGGAAAGAACAGCTCTGTAGGCACACACTTAAAATAAATAAATAAATATCTCATCCCAGGCCAGAATAGAGAACCTTAGGAAAGAACAGCTCTGTAGGCACACACTTAAAATAAATAAATATCTCATCCCGGGCCAGAATAGAGACTTCTTAGACCCCAGATCACTGACAAGACAGCCAGCAGTGGTGCTACTGTCATGTCAGTGCAGCTGTTGGCTCATCCACAGGAGAGGCTCAGCACAGCTTTCAGATGCCAGGACAGAAAGCTCAGTCCAGGTGCAGCTCGTCCTGCTGCGAGCCAGGGCTGCTGGCAAGACCCCGGCTCTATTCCCAGGCCTTCTAATTGCATCAAAGGGAAGGAGAGTGGGAAAATGCCACAATTTTGTTTCTGAAAGTAAGAGCTGATGAGGATTATTTACACACAGCAGTAACTCACAATTGCATCAAACCCTTGGGTACCTTAATTCTGTGTATCACACAAATTACAGAGCATGAAGGGCTTCTAGTTGCAGGTCTCTGGTAGCTGGGAAAAAGCTCAGGGAGCTGGATCAAAGGTGGGATGGAAGAACCCAGGGGGAAAGCTCAGAGATACCCCACAAGGTTTCAGTATACTCAAGAAATGTTCCTTTCTACACTCTGAGCCCCAAATTCATTAACTTGTTACAGAAAAGCTGATTTTCTCGGAATTTTTGATTTGTTCAGGAAACAAGCAAAACTAAATTTCCCGATTCTCTACAGAGTGACCTGCAGCAGAAAAAAGTGCTTGCAAAGCAGAGCAGCAGCTGGGGCATTGCTGCTGGTGCTGGAAGTGGCACTGTGCAGTCCCTGCCTGCTTCTCCCAAGAAGAAGGCTGTCCTGGGCTGGAGCCATCCAGACAGCCCATCCCTGCTGCATGTTCAGCTCCAACACGAGCTCTAGCCTGCAACCAGGTGCCAAGTGGAACAAAAGCACCTTCAAAAACAAGTAGTCCATCCCTCTGCCTGATTGTCCTATTTCTGAGAAACAAATCAGTGCTTTTGAGAAGGCCAAAGCATGCTGTGCCCAAGTACAGCTTTTTTTTCTCTATTCAGAAGACACACAAGTGCCTTCAAGCTTTCCTCCTTCCCCTGTCCTTCCAGGGGAAAAATACCCAGCAAAACAGAAGAGAAATGAAATCAAATGTGCTTTATTACTTATTAGTTGGTAACATAACACTTGTGACAAGCTGAACAGTTGTAGCAGGCGGCTGTGGAAGTCACTACGCTGTTTAGAACAAAAACAGGAATGAGAGACAGCTCTGAAAGGGAGATTTTAAGCACAGCTCAGCCATCCTACCGTGCCCAAACCAAGTACTGTTATTCAGTTAATTTAGTGAATGAATCCCTCAGGGTCTCCAGCCATCTACCACTACAGCTCATTAGAGCCCAATATCCGACTTTTCATGTTGTATCACTGAAAGCACTTATGCTTAAAACGTAATTAAACTTAAAACAAACAAGGGCTGGTTTCCCCCCTCGGCTGCCCTGGGACGTGCCCCAGCCCTGCCCACACAGCCAAAGGCACCCACCTCTGCCGTGTTATTTGGGAAAACACCCCCTGCTTCCCACCCCACAGGCTGACATTTGCCCGAGCGTTCATCCTGTGAGCAATTAGAAATCTAAATACTGGGTGTAATGCCTGGCTATTGGGATTTAGACTCTTACAAACGAGTAATGCAGTAAGACTTGCTGTCCAACGAGGTGTCTTATTGAAATATCCCAGGCTGGTTTGCTTGTCACAGCTGTCGTTTCAGCCATTTGCACTTACACTGTATTGCTTTCATTACAAAAATAGAAATTTGTGTCCTAAGTGCTGTTACATTACTAATGCTAAATATTTAATTCCCCGGGGTTCTAATTATGGTTGAGCACTGGCAACACTGATTCTACTTTTTAATAACAACTGTAAAAGCAGTTTGAGCATTTTTCAATTAATTAAATACATAGTGTACGAGTAACCTCTTGTCATTTTGCCCTCCAGGACCTGAGCTAATTTGCGTGGAATAAAATGTTTTGAAAATTAACTGATATACTGGTCTGATCATTGTTGTTCTATTAAATTATAGTCTGCCAAATGAGTGGTGTATAATAGTTACATACTGTACTGTTCCCTTATTTATGATGGCATGGTGGTTTTTTGAAAAAACTTCTCCAGCACATTTCCAGAGAGCACACTGGAGAGGCCTAATTAGCAGGCAGGAGATGGTCCATGCACCACGGGCATCAGTAGACTTACAGTGCAGGGAGACTTCAGCAATGAAAAACAAAGCCTCTCTCCATTCTCCAGACCTCATTTTCACCTTCTTTCACAGCTGAAATTAAAAGTGTTAATTAAATGACTTTCTGCTGCATAAACTCCTATGGATTAGTTAGTAGTTTACACTTTAACACATGGGAATTGACTCACAGTATTAAAACACCGAGTAGTTTAGAAACATTTTTGTTTTCAAATTCCAGAACCCAATATGAAAAGATTTGTCCACAAAATGAGATTTTTGTACTACAAAGACACAAGAATATCTAGCCTGCTCATGCAAACAACCAGGAATAAAACTTACTTCTACTGCATACCTGACACAATGCTAAAATTATAAACCGTGTTTTCCATTTAAATAGTCCTAGAAGTTTAGAACACTGACACAAAACAGCACCTTATGTATCCCGGTAAGGGAAACTAATCTCTTGACCAAGTCCAACATTAAAGATGGGGACTCAACTGGTAACAACTTGGCAAAAAACCCTGACATTTTGAAAACAGCTTTTCCACATGTTTATTCATAGCTGATGAAGAATGCTCTTTCAGCATGAATTTTAATATTGTATTTTATTTTACAGTATGCAACAATGGTAAGTTGAACATATTGCTTAAAAAACACTTAAGGTCTAAACATTACAAAATATACAGGTGAAAGTTTGCTAGTTTTAGCCAAGTAACTTAACAGTAATGACAACATTCTACTCTGAAATCACATGAAATATGGATGATAGATACATAACATTTTTTCACAACTTGCAAAAGTATCACATGTGGAACATTGCAGTCATCATACTAGTTAAAATGAAACCCAGCTTCAGTTTATGCTAAGATTCCTTGCTTGCTACCACAACACTCACACAGTAAGAGCTGTAATTCAAACTAAGCAGGGATGTATTCCAGTTTAAAATAAACTAAAAACCTCCACAATGTACTGCAGATTACTTTTCATACCAAGCAAACTGAGATTCTCAGTCAGCACTAAAACACTTCTTTTCTCAAATAAATACTAAATAGAATATACAATCACTGTTAAATGAAAGTGTTCAGGTCCAGCATTTGTGTGTAGGTGTACAAACACATACATAAAACATACACACAGACAAAATATGAAGAACACAAGCAATGTATTGCAACAACAGCTCTCTTCTTAAAGACAGATTTATATAACAGCATAAAACTTGGAAGTTATTTTTTCTACTATAAAAGCTCCCTAGTATCTCTAGATGTCTGCCTTCAATAAATCCTGAAAACATTCTGCTCACATACTGAGTTTTAAGGAATGTGCAGCATATGTCAGCTTCAATAAAACCAGTACAGTGCTTTAATTACTCCATTCACCCAGCAGCTACTTTAACAAAGTAATTTTCTGAACATGTAAAAATGTAAAATCCCCAAAAAACCAGTCATCTATGTGCAACGACCACTCAGCATCTAACAATAATGGATATACTGAAGGACCAAAACGTGAGTTGTGCCAAGCCCATAATTCTCAGTGACTGACTGTAAAGCCCTTTGAGGCAGCACTAAGCTTTTAAAACTCTAACCCTAATCAATTGTAAACAAAGAAATAAAGATCTTGTCACAATATATGGTACAGTTGAGATGATCACCATACAATTTCATAAGGCATTAAGCATTCCCCCAGACAGGGTCACACCTTACCACATCAGCAGGCTTCAGGTGTCTGCCCATACAGAGGAACACCAGATCACATCAGAGGGCTACAAGCATCTGCCCTTCTTGTTCTTTAGCCCAACCTTTTATCCCCTCATGTTGATGCCCTGCCCCTGTGTGCCTCTGCTCCCTTTGGGGGTTGGTCAGTGCCCCTGGGCACTCCATGGCTCATTGCTGCCAGTGCTGCTCACCTGCTGCTCACAGCTGCACCCACTGGGGATGGGGCTGGGCCAGCCCCACTCCCAGTCACCACAAACTGTGTGCCTACAAGATCTCACAGTTATTTCTAAAATCTTAAACACTAGCATATAACTTAAAATAATTTTTCTGCTTTTTCTGATTTGCACAGCATTCTTCCCAAGTAAATATGGACTTCTGCACGAAAACAGGCTTGTATATACAAGCTGAAAAATAACAGCACCTATTTAAACATGAGCTAATTATACCAGGCATTTGGACTTTGGTGGTAATGTATTGGTTGCCACAGAGCAGAGCACACCCCTGTTGGCCAAAACCAAAGGTGCACAGGATTCAGAAATCTATATGGAGACAATCTCTCCACTTCTCCAAACACTTCTGCCCAAAAGTCTTTTCATGGTACAGGACAGCAAACACCATCTCCCCAGGTTGCAGGGCACTTGGAAAAGTATGACTTGCACACATTTGGTGACAGCATGGCAACAAAAAGCCTATTAAACAGAAAAAAGGCAGATAACTGGATACAATCAACTTGCAATCATTTTCTTGTAATGTATTAGTGAATGGATGCCAGCTTACTAATCTTAGTAGAGAACAAACCTAATTTATCCACAGCAGGATGTTGTCAGATTATTTTCAACCTAATAATTATTTCTAGCAGAAAGACAGCATTACACTTTGTAGAAGTAGACACTCTGCAGAAGACATTTGCTCTGAAAACAGATGTTCATGTGCTGTTTGATTAATGTGGGTGGGGTGAGGATGGATGAACCAGAGAAACCCACCCCAGCCAATGAAACACTCCACAGGAGCAAGCAGTCAGGTTAAGAGGATCTTTGAAAAAGGCATGGCACTAGGAGAGAGGAACATTCCCAATGCTCCTCCCCATCCTTTTTGAAGATAAGCTTAATTAACTTTGGGTAACTTTTCAGTGGAAGCTGCATTTCTATGAAGATTTTTGCTACACTGAGACTTCTTACTCCCTTCCAAGCCAGAAGGATGTCTAAGACGACCCAGTCTGACCTCAGGTGTTGCAAAAGCCACAGAAGCCAGTGAGGAATTCTTCTACCACCCCCAGCCATTTGTTCAAGCATATACCTCTATAAAAATATTTCATCCTCATTCAAAAGATAGAAAATCTAATATTCCCTTTCTAATAATTTCTAATGATTCATTGGTCTTATTAAAAGTTTGCTCCATCATTTGTCATAAACTGATTTTTATCTCTGTGTATTGTCAACACATATTGCTGTAAAAATGTTGTGTTATGTCTGGAGTATGCAAACAGTCATATAAAATCAAGTGTTCCATTACAGATGTAAAGATTACTGTCAGGAATTCACCTTTTATTCAATCAAGTTAGAACTCAAATTAAAGGAGATAGAAAGTAACCATATAGTACCAGTTAAGAAGGTAAACTATGTTTTGTCCAACATATTTGTGGAGAACTTATATAGAAGTCATGTGCTTATAATAATAAACACACCATTATGACTGGGATTCCTGATAGATTCAGACCAAATTCAGCAATCACCAAAGAGCCAGGAAGTCTACTTGAAACCAAGCTATTATTCAGAATATTTATAAGAAGAAAATCTGCCTTCCCTGAAGTTTTGTCTTTTTAGCACTACATAAACAGTATGGCAGTTTAACTATAGTATTTGATGGCTCTAAGTCCTTGGATGTAAAATTTTACTCATCAGCTTGACATCCCTGACAGTGTCCTATGCAAGATGTTATTCTGCAGTACTGGTTTACCTGTGTATTACCACTTAGGCAGGTAAAGAGACTCCCAGGCAATCACAAGCATTTCCTTAAACATTTCAATCTTGATACTACAAGAATCCATTTTAAGATAAAAATAGTCATATGGATTATGGGCTGTCTCAGAGAGCTGTGGAGGTCATCTGCACTTAGTTCCTGGTCAGGGGGGACGTGTGACAGTCATTTGGGGCAGGCACATCACTCCTGAACCCAGCACTGAGAGCTCAGCCATGGCTCAGCCCTGGGCTGCTGGAACAGGGCACAACTCTCACACCTGGAGCCACACCTGCCTCTTCCTCACACACCTGCCACTTTATTTTCCTCCCTTCTGTACGTCCAGTATGGCCACTGCATATTCCTCATCCTTTACCTTAAGGACAAATAAAAGATAATGGATGACACACAACCTGAGCTGGAGGCTCAGTCCTTTCTGTGGCTGTGTTCTTTTCACCTGGCAGTGCCCTGAGAGGAGATGCAAACAGTGCTGCTGCTCTCAGGATTCTGACAGTTCTCTTGTTCTTTGTAAGCCCAGGCTGGCTCTAGGAAGGCACCTACACTCCATGGCCTTTGCACAAGAAGGGGCAGTGTGGAAGGAGCTGCTCAGTGCACTGCTTTTACCCACTATGGGAGTACTAAAGATTATCCATACCATTCTAATTTTGGCATAGGGGATAGCAAGAGCTGGGATGCCTCACCAGACTCCAGCACTGATTCAACACTGTAGAGAAGCAACAGCAGCCACTCCTGCTGGAGGTGTTCTCTCTTCTCCACTCAAGGCAGCTGATGTGTCAAAAGCAGCTCTCCTGAGGCATGTGCTGGCTGAGGCAGCCTCTTTGATGAGTACAGTAACAAGTGTGTTCTCTAGATAATGGAAACACTTGTACCATTCCCACATCTTGACCAGATACATTTTCCTGAAATAGGTGGTTCTCTCACACACTGGTTCTCTCCCCTCATACTGGCACACACAAGGAGTCAAAGAACACAGGTTTATTCTGCATTATCCAGGGTGTCCCTGGAATGTGAATATTATGCATGACAGATCTGCACAGCTTTCTAACACGTCCAATTTTTACCACATCCAAGATATGTAACTGCACCTGCTGAAAAGGCAACACACCAGGGCCAGCCCTCAGCAACACTCCTGTCAACACAGCACCCTTCCCAGACATGACGTCTGCACAGCTGGTCTGTGCATGCCCTGTCCTTTCATCAGAGTGACCCAGGGCGCTGGATAACTAATATTTGATAGCACGATTAACTCTGGCTGAAGTCAGTCTGCGTGTGCTCAGGGAAACAGCTCAGCCTGCTTCCCTAGCAGGGAGAGAAGGAGTGAGCAGGCGCACAGGAAGCCTCCTGCTTCAACCAGCACAGCTGCTGACAAAGGAGCCTGTATCTCTCGCCTTCTCTGAAGTTAATCCCAGCAGTTTAAAGCAGACTTGTGAAAAAAGCATGAATCTGAAGTTACTCTGAAATGCTACTCCAAGGACACATTAGTTCCACTAGAGTCAAAGTATATGCCAGACGCAATAGGTCGAGTTCTAGTCGAAGAGATTGCACAGAAAGTAAGAGCTAATAATTCTTAATTTGGCATAACATGACATTCCCAACAGCTTCTCTCTCTCCTTCCAGTAATTGTATCTTGGCAGTGTCCATATTAAAAAACCATTGCACAAAAGACATGTGCTGTTGGGGAAAAAAAACTCCAAAAACCAAACCACCTTTCTTTGTGTTGTGTCATTCCAAATACTGAAGACACCTTCACTGAAAGGGAAAATATGCAGATCAAAACACAAAGGGGACAAAACCTAATTCATTCCTTATTTGTTTAAGAATTACTAATAAGAAACAGTTTTGCAGGAAGCTAGGGCAACAGTAATTTAGACATTAATAAATTGAGCATTGTAACAATAACTATTCCATTGAATAAAAATAATTCCGGCAAGAAACTTTTCACATGGCATTCAACAGATATTAAAATAAATGAATGAAGTATGCAAGTCAAATTGCTTCCAAAATAAAGACCTTCCAGCAGTTTACCATAATGACAACATTCAACAAAAACATACAATAGCTCTTTGTAGCCTAAAAATTGTCAGTTTTATTTTACAAAGATGACTTCCAAAAGCATCTTGTCATGACAATTGAGTTTTGAGGAAAAAACAATCTGTCGTTTGATAAATAGAAGAAATTAACTGTCATTAAAGTCACTTAAGCACTCCTCCTTCCTGTTATCCCTCTCATCTTGGCAGTAACTGATAAGATTTCAGGGAGGCTCAGTCATTGATGGCAGGATCTAGAAAAGAAACAATTTTGCATACGGTTATTCTCATTCTCAGGTTCTAGTTATTGCATTTCACTAACCTGCATTTAATTGGCTTCCTTCTGCCCCTGGCATGGGCACAGTGGACCACGTATTTCATACCAATCACTGCTCACTGTTACACCTTACACCATGAAAATATCCAGGTGGCTGCAATCCTGCGGTGTTAATATTGCATACAAAGGTAACAGTAACAAAGTCCTGGAAGCAGAGCCCTGTTATCCACCAAGTGTGAATTGCTAATAGCAGCCAGTGCTTTAGCCAACAGGGACCAGACATTACTCATTATCATGCAGTTCATTACTTATGGGACATGGTTGAACTTGAGCCTGTAACTTCTGGAAAACGTACCACTCATCCACAGGAACACACCAACAAAATAAATGAAGGACCAGATGCAATGGTTACAGCAGAATTAGTGAAGAGGTAAATTATAACTGCATATTTCCATCCCTCCAAAAAAATATTACCCAAGATTTTTTCTGACTAAGCAAGCAGCTTCAAGAGGAAAGGAGGACATGGACTGGGCAGAGAAAAAAGCTCTGAGCCTTGCATATCCAGACTGAGTCCCGTGCAACCCCAGGAGGTTGTGTGCATGGCAACCCCACTTCCAACAAACAGAGTAATTAATTGTATTCCCACATTAAAGCTACCATGGCACACCTCCACCTTGGCAGATTTCTAGCTGGCTTTAATCCTTTCCACCCTCCACATGCCAGGTTCCTCACACCAACTGGCCCTCGGTGACAGCTGAGTTTTCAATGCCACACAGTACCTTGATGCAAATGGGTTTTGCCCTTTTTTCCACCTTTTGCTAGGCTACACTGCCACTTAGTCACTGCACTGACATAACAACTCCACCTTCTCTACTGCAGTGCAGCTGTACATCCACTGACGTGACAACGGGAAGTGAGGGCTTCATCCCTACAGGAACAGAGCTGCCTTTCAGTTTGCAACTTGCATCATTTTCATGCTGAGGACAGAGCATATGGTCCTTGGAAGGGACATCAAAATAAATATGACAGGTCAGTGCAATCATCATACTGAATGAATTCAAATGATGCTGTATCTAAAATGAAATGTGTGCACATAATAAAGATTCAAATGACAAAAAAATTCCCCTACCCTTTATCCTTCTCTGAATTATTTATGAATTCTGCAACTCCAGCTGTTGCCACCAGCCCAAGGACACTACTTCATTTTGGGAATGACACTTCATATTAAAAGATAAGTTAACAAAAGAAAACAAAAAAAAATTTAAAAAGGACACTGAGGGCCTTCAAAGACCACAGAAAAGCACAATACATCCTTTCCCAGCTCTTACAAAGGAAAATAATCAACAATCAATTCTGTTCATGTTTCTCAACTTGTTCCATAATTCCAGACACAGATTTCAACACTCATGCATTAAGTCAGCCATGCCTTTTTAACCATTGCAGTTAAGCAAGACTCTCACAGCATCTTGGATCCCTCACGTATTTTTATAGGGTTATCTCTGTCTTACAGTTCACCATAAACCATATGCCAACACACCAAAAACTGAGATACTATCTGCACTGCTGACAGCTTTTAGTACACAAAATGGTAATTCCAAAAGTATAGAATATTTGCATATATGGAATTGCTTTTTGGAAAGCAATAATTTGTCCACAAATTTGAACAAAAAGAAGCAACACCTTCAAAGTGCAGTTTAGGGCACAAAGAATTGGTTTCAAGTAATCATGACATTTAGATGAGCACATTTTATAGTGCTGTCTGCCCACTTGTAGACTGCTCTGATTTGGATTCCATCACATATCAGTTCTTAGGTTTCAAATAAATAATTTGGCAATGGGAAGGAGGCAGCATGGAGAAGGCTTAGTCAGTAAGCACAATTTCCACTACCTACATCAACATGCTCTTCTTATCACTTTAAACTAAACTTGTTTTAGTTGGCTGGTCTGCAGAGCAGATAGATAACACAGAGGCTGAGTAAACAGGGAAAAAAAAATATATAAATCCACCATTGGTTTTGGTTGCTACTTTATTCATAATGGAATCAAGATCTGAATTGTTACACAAAACCACACACTACAAGAACATACTGATGCACTGTGTTCTCTGTGAAATTTACTAAAATGGGTCAAAATTTGCAAGTTGCTGAGTGCTGAGGGACATACAGCCCCTAAATATTAGCCCTTTATTACTGACCAATAGTCTCATCTCTGCCACAAATGACATTATTCTGTTCTCTACCCATGATCTTAATTTCATTGTGTTTTCTACTTTTAGTTTTACCTAACTGAACAGCAATTGGGCTTATGTTCTGTTTCTAGGAGATCCCAAATGCCACAAGAACTTTTAACAAATTAATTATTTAGGATTTTTTTTGTCTGAGGTTTTTATTTTCTCCTCCACAGTCCGCCTGAAAGTGGACTAGCAACTGTCACAGTTCTAATACAGAAAGATGTATGAATAAACTGCAGAGCTTCCAAGGCACCATCATCAGACATCTTCAGTATCACCCACAAATTAAAACAAAAAGCCAAAAATGCACCATTTGCCTTTAGTGCCAAGCACACAGTTCAGGCCTGAGCTGGAATGCCAGATATTCAATAAATAAACTCATCTTTGGGAAAAGCAGCAAAGCAAGAGTTGTTGCCTGTCTTGCAAGTGAAAAATGCCAATGGCTTGCAAGCAGAGATCTGCTGTTACTCAGTTTGGTACCATGAGCTCATGCAGTGTTATCCAGGAAAAGGAGATGTTGTTAAAACAAACATTTATTTGCCCTTCAGTCTACAGCAGAGCTGGCACCCAGCCCTGAACAGTCTCCCTCTTCCTCGCTACTGTGGGAAAGCTACTGAACAAGAATCCTCCCCTTCCATCTCCTGCTGTTGGCCAAAGAAACAAAAAGGTACAGAAACAAAGAACAGGCAGAGAACCTGAAGTGTGTAAAATGCCACTGAGCAGGAAGTTAAGGTTCAACACTGTAACATTTGTAGATCTCTTGTAACATTTATAAGAGCCCCAAATTCTCCTGACACAGCTAAATACTTCAGTTTATTAATAATTATTAATATTCTGCAATATTTTGGAAGTCAGGTGCTATGCACAAACCCTCTCAAAACTACAATTATTTAGGTGTAACCCACTCAAACACACATCACACTTTTTTTCTGAAAACTAGCAAATTAAAAACAGGAACATATCTCACATTCCAGGGTTGCCATTTAACTCTCAATGCCACAGGTTCTCAAGTGCCTCCTGAAATAGTTTCTAGCTGTGCTAAAAGAATGACATTTGGAAAAAAATCACCTGTGTGCTGATAGGAAAACATCCTTCTGAAGATTTTCACAAGCTAGCTGGATGCAATTGAAGTTAGTCCTCAGAAAATAAGAAAAGTCTTCTTCATGCCCAAACATGCTCACTAAATGCTTCTGGCTATGACATTATTTCATAATTGACACATTACACACAAACACCCCAAGAAAATATCTTTTTGTCTATGTCTGGATTACACGGCTATTTATACCCAGTGCTTCTGCAGAGCCTTCCCCATGTTGCACGATGCTCTTGAATACAAATGACCAATTGATCCTTTCACATGATAGGGTGGGGGATTTTTTAGTGTTCAATACTTCTAATGTTTAAAAAAATTGTACCTCAACATGGTCTTTAATCCTTACCCTGAACAATTGAGTACATTCGTATTAATCTATTAGATGCCTTTCCACACCACACCTATGGCACTGCATAAATTACTGTAATTTAAATGAATTACTGCTTGAGAATTCCCATGTGGTAAGAAACACGCAGTGTTATATGTTATGGAAAGAAAAATGTGCATTATGGTAACTAAGTTTTATACCACAGTATATCTAGGTGCTCATAAACCAGCCACTCTAAACTGTTGAAGGACAAGAATATTAGACTGATCACACAGAACACACATCAGTATGTCAAAAAGTCAATAATATGAAATTAAATCTAGAGTTTATTTAGATATATTCCTATGCCCATATTGAGATTCCACATTAAAAATGCCATTAGGCTAGCTGAAGAATATTACTGCAAAAGATATTTATACCTACAGTAATTCTATCTCTGCCCTGGACAACTTGCATTTTCCTCTTTATGTGTTTGATCTACTGAAACATATTGAAGAAAAAAGAACTCAGAAAAAAAAAAAAAGAAAAAAATAAACAGAAAAAAACCGCGAAGTTCTTTTGTTACATTACTCCACATATTACCAGTGTTTAAGGATGACTTGTTTAAGACTGCACATTTCAACTACCTAACAGTAAAGAATGAAAAGCTTCTTGAAGTGTTTGATCTACTGAAACATATTGAAGAAAAAAGAACTCAGAAGAAAAAAAAAAGAAAAAAATAAACAGAAAAAAACCCCGAAGTTCTTTTGTTACATTACTCCACATATTACCAGTGTTTAAGGATGACTTGTTTAAGACTGCACATTTCAACTAACAGTAAAGAATGAAAAGCTTCTTGCTACAAGCTAAAAAGAAAGTCTTTACCATGCTCCTTGAAGAGCTCATTTTCACATTACTCAGGCTTCATTATGCTGAATCAATATTCGTTTAGTCACTGGGTTATTGACATATTTTAAAATAAAAGTATACCCTTCAGCTACTGCACTCATTACGGGTAATTTGTCTTGTCAGGGAGCAGGGAATATTATCCCAGTCTTTCAGGGGCTGACAGCCCATGGAAATACCTCCCCTTGGTTACAACTGTAAATAATTTTAAGGTAAAATATTGAAAAATCAATGACTGTTTCCTGCAATCTGTCACAAACAAATCAATCATAATCTGCACAGCCAGAGAGTATGATTTGAAGGAGATGAGAGCAGATGTAATTCTTGGCTGGAATCTCTCATTTCAAAATCACCTCACATAATGGTGTCATCATTTAAACACTTAGCAGTCACTGCAACTGCCACTCATAACATCTAGTTGGACAAAACCACAAGGAAGAGGAGGAGAAATGCCACTGCTGTTATGTAAACAAACACTTTATTTCAATGGTTGCAACATTAGCAAATTTCACAGATATAACAACAAGGCTTGCCCCTCCACAAATGTCCAAGGTGCTTTTCTTTCCCAGTGGAAGACTGCCTATAAACGAGCCTCTCAAAATGCAAAGCATTTTATATTTTAAAACCAAACTATGGTTCATAAAAGGTGAGAAATAATATCTGGTACTAATACTACTTCTAAAAATATTTTATTCACTCCAAATTGCTCATAACAGAATTACGCATCAAATTCTTAAGAGATTAAGAAAGGAGAATTATCTGAGGTACCTTTGTCTTTTTAAGAGCAATAAGGATTTCAATGCTTCTTTGTCCTCTACATATTACATTTCACATCTAATTTTCATTAAGCACACACTGACTCAACTTTAGGGTTGGAAACACTGCAAAGTACATGAGAAATAAAGTCATAACCTACATAAATTAATTGCTAATGTATTTTCAACTTGCATTCAAAGATTAAATGTTGTATATGGAATTACATCTGTATAAAGGATCAATTTATACATAAAGAATTAACTACTGCACTCAGAATGCTATAAACTGACCTTTGTAAATGTGAATAAATTGTGTAAAATGAATCTATTTTTATAGAGTAACACTGATCCTTAGACCAAAATTATTTTTTCATTTGTCCCCCCACCTCACTACATTTTTACCCCAACACTTCAGTGTTTAAAAGAATTCTCTGCAGATAAAACAGGATAAAACTGTTGTGCAACTGAAACCACAGGCCTAAGCCTGCATTTTTTGCACAAACAAAATTTACAAATGCTCATGGAGTGTTTCCCTCTGGAGTCTATAATTTGAGCTCTTAATCTTTAATGTGCAGAGCCCGTTATCACATACTCATTTTAATCACATTAACCTTAGCAACTCCTAATTCTGAATATTTATCTTACAACTGTGAGCCTAAGAAAAAAATACAACCAAAAAGATGAAATTATTTTCTCTTTTCTTGAAAAAATCCCTTAATACTGTTTTTAAAAATCAAAGAATAGGGCATATTGTACATCTAAGTAAACCTCTCCAAGGTTTGCCTTCCTTTAAAGCAGGCTTTAAGTCTCTTTATCTTCTACTTGGAAAACATACATCTCTAACTCTTTATTGATATACATCAAAATCACTATTGTTTGTAGCAGCTGGACAGATTCCCTTTCTCAGCAAAATAAATTATTAAAAAAAAAAAAAAAGAAAAAGAAACTGAAGTCTTAGACCAGAAGAAGCAGTTAGTGCCTTAGAGGCTAACTAAGTGTAAATATCAGCCATGAAGAAAATCAGCTTATTGTGGGGAAAGGCTGCTCCACAGTGAAAGGAAGCGGGAGGAGGCAGCGCGTGAGCAACTGCTAAAAACCAGAGTAGCTCCTAGAAACGAGTTGCAGTTCCCCACCTTTTCCCTGGATGAGATCTATAATGAAGCTATCCCACAGACAGCCCCAGGCTCCTCAGCCCCTTTACATGTCCTCCCTGGCCCGGGGACAGTGGCAGAGGGAAGCCCTGCTCCCCAGGCTGAGCCATTGTGTGAGGGGGAAGCGCGGCGCGCACAGAACGTGTCGGCAGCTTCCCCCTGCGCCATTCCCCTGAGCCAGCTTCTCATTTCTTGTGACAATCACCTAATTAGGTGGGTCAAGAATTGCAGAAGATAGAAGAGATTCATTCTTCCTTACATGCCAGTTCTCCTATTTGTAAAAAGGACAGCAATGGCTCTTCCACTCCATTGTAAGGCACTTAATAAATGTTAATAATAATTAAGTCAGTCACATCTCCCAGACAACACTGTCAGATCGTTTTTTGCAGTATTTCAGAACTATTTGGCTCAGCGGGGAGATCCTACAAGCTCCAGACAGAAAAGGACTCACAAATTCCATCCTTCAGTGCAGGAGGTCACAGAGGGCTATGCCACAGCAGACATTTCACAAGCCCTGAGGAGCAAGAGCAGCACATGCTGCTGCATTACAGATGTTAATAGGTCAGCACTGTGAGTGCAATTTCCTGCTGGACAAAGCATTAAGATGCTCTAACAACTAGTAGGACTGTGAGGTCTTTCTGGCTAAGAAGTTGAACTAGATTCAATTTCTTGAATGAAAGAAGCTGCTAGCATTTCCCCTAGTACCCACCTTCTCCATTTACTGCTCTCACTCATAACGTTCATTTAAGTCACTGGCATATGTTCATTTATTTAATGCAGCTTCATATGATCACTAAACAATACAGCAATGCCATATTACATCATGCAACATTAGTAATATGACACTATTAGCAATACTCTACCTAATGAAGTTTATAAAGTCTTCATGTTTGGGCATTACAGAAATATGAAAAATCCTGCTTTGAAGTAGCTCCTGCCTTCCAGTTCTGTCCTTCCCTCCTTCAGCACTGCTGAGACCATCTCACTGAGCTCATCTGGAGAGAACAAAAATAGAAAGAAAGCAACATATTTATTACATGCACTGTGCAATTTTCTCAACAGAAACAAGAATAAAGTTGATGTATCTGGAAACATTAATGCATTTTGTAAGTGACTGAACCTAGCACCACAAAGTAAAGTGCCCCTTCTGTAATGCTGTGCTTAATGAATCATATCTTACTCATAGCAGATTACTTACCATTAACTCTGAACAGGACTTAATATGGTTAAAAATACTGCAAGCCCAGCTGCATTCTGGCATTGTACTAAGTCTCTTCCCATATTCAGGCAGGTACAGGATAGGATTCCTGGGTTCCTTTTCCCCACTGTGCATCTCACTGCTTCTCTCTTGGGTGCAATCTAGAAAGGCAAAAAAAAAAGGGACATACGGAGAATGGGGGAAGGAAAAAAAATACAGTATTTGTCACTAATTCAGCAGCATGCTTCTCAGACAAACAAGGATTACAGAGTGAGCAATGCAAGGGTTTCTTCACCCATTGATCCTGTATGTTTCTTAAACCCCACAGATACTATGTTAGCGCCATATCCCACAGGATGGTGTTCAATCCTGCATGTTCCAAGAGGTGAACCACAAACAGGTGCTTATGGAAATCAAAGATCTGAGGAACAGGGCAGTTTAATGGCATTTTGCTAATGAAACAGTGACAGCATTAATCACTTGCTCAAAAGCACAACAGTCTAACATTTATATGAGTATGGACACCACCAGTTTACATCTGAACATTTCTGAGACAAGCAGAGCTCCTGCTAGGTAAACTGAGGCCAAGATTACGTGAACAAATCCAGGTCATAGGATGTGCCAGAAATGCAAGGAGAAAACAAACCCAGGTCTAACCCCTTGCCTGCTATTAAGTTTTCCAATCCCTTCTCAGCCAGCCTAAAAGTCTCTCCACCCTTCTGCAGCCTCCTCCCAAAGAACTACCTGGATGACCTCAGCTTAAGTTTTACTTAGGGACACAGTAGCACAGTATATATTACAGGGAATATCAGCTGAACTTTAATTGGAGTAATAAATTAAATACTGAAATAAACTTAAGAAAAAGCATAAAGGAAAAAAATACCTTTAAAATTACTTTTGAAACTTAGACTCTACAGAGCTGTCCTCTTCCCAAGAGACATCCATGAAACCTAATGCCCACAGGAGCTGGGAGACAGCAAGGTCCTTCCTAGATAAAAGCCAGAAAGTCAGCACAAACAAAGCAATTCTCACACTGCCAATATCATAAAGAAGTCGTAGGCACCTTTTTATAATGACAGAGTATTCTTAATAAAAGCTTCAAGCAGGTTTTACAGCTGCATATTATCCAATGAAACCGGTAATAAACAGCACTGTAGAATTATTTAGTGCAACTCCAATACGCCGAGTCTCAACCTGGGTTTTATTTATCACACAGGCTAAAATGTTTGTTCTGGGCTTTACAGTAGCAGCCAAGCCTGTAGCTATCTTTTATCCCAGCACACTGCCATCTGGATATTGATACTTTGCTATGGGATATGAAAGAAGAGCATAGTTACCTAATACAGCTTAATTGAAAACACAGGACATACATATTATACCGTGCATTATTTTACACAAAATTAAATCTGAAGGGCATGAAAATTTCTGTAGATGTCAGCAGAGAATATTTCAGAGGTAAATGCTGTGTTCTTCACCTGCACTAGAAATGCTAAAAAATACTGTGAAAAATATGTGCTTACAAGAAGAAAAAACTCATTTTTTCTCTGTTGGGAAGAAAGAAATTGCTCAGAAAGGTGCATCTCCTTCAGGAAGAGCAGGACAGTAATCAGTCACATGTTTATTAGTACAGAAAACTCTGTTATGGTGATCCATATTCACCTTGAAAGGTCCAGCTGGTTTGTTTTTCTCCTCAAGCAATGATTTAATAATAAAAAAGGAAAAAAAATATGCTGCTCTACAAATACATTCACTTTAATCTGTTAAAAACAGCTTCAAGAACCATCTACATCTGCACTACCCACATTAAGGAATACAGACTAAAAAGCTCTAATGTTAAGAAAACCCCAGAAATTATGCACTGTTAAAAAGAATTCCTTGGGTGTAAGGCCAGAAAGGCTACCTGGCTTTGTGTTTCTCCTCAGAGAGGTACTGCTGAGCTCTTGCAAACACCAGTCATAAGGACTGCAAATATATGTAAGTAAAGTAGATAAAGCACAAAATCTTTGGAACACAACACTGCTATTAAGACACTCATCTCTAACACCCACACTGAAGGCCAGATTCCAGCTGCAGGAGCTCCCTCCACGCTGCAGCTCCTGCAGGCAAAAGGGAATTTGCCACCATGGGCTCATGTAGATCCTATAAAACAGCACAAGGAGCCACAGCCATCCTTCCCACTGAGCTGCTCCTCATTTGCCATAACAGCCAACTAACAGTAGATGCGGCTTGCTTTAAGTGAAAAACTTGTTCTAGACATGAAAGAAATCAGTTTTTCATTTTTCACTCAGCGTCTATTTTCTGCAAATGTCCATGGAACTGTAAGTAAAATAAACCCCAAAGACATTCTTAACTTGGTCCATATTATGCCAACAAATCCAAGCAAATAATGCCATTTAAGTTAATTACAGGAAACTTCAAGGAAACTGAAATACAGTTTCAGGTTCTCCCATGATACTGTCAAGATCTTTGGAGTTACATGCTCAGTACAATAACTAGGTGCTTGAAAGACTTGTCAGCTGCACTTCTGTATTTTATTCCGCACACTAAAAAGGCTGCTGAAGCAAATTTTTAAAAAATAAAAAGATTGGAACTGATAATCAGGCTTCCTTTAGCAGACAAGAAGTGATTTAAAATTGAAAGGCTTGGAGAGAAAAACAAAACTCTACGCTACCCAATACCCAAATGCTAGGCACAGAAGAGTAATTCTAGGTGTTCACGAGTTTACACCTGGCTCTCAGACCCAACCACAGAGAGTGTGAACAAGGAGCATCTCGGGCAAAGGAAGTGCAGGCAGAAGAAACAACACAGCAGCTGAGGGTGTCTTGCTCAGAGAGCTCCTCCTTTACCCAGGCTCAGAGCCACAAAACACCAGCACTTCCACTGCAGTGCCTGACCTGGAGCTCCCAGCACTTCACCTGAGGGAAGCAGCAGCAGTGTCGGCAGGAAAGGGCCCCTAAGTTTTACAGCCAATATTTTACATACATTTTTTTTAGCTCTTGCCCAGTTAATAATGTATTGATTTAACATAGAAAGATACAGGCCCCTCCCTCCTCTTTGCATGCTAATTAGTTTTACTTCTATGGTAGTGCAAAGATGAGAAAGAAAATTTTCTCTTCATGCCTAATTAAAAAAATGAATATTCACATGTATTTATTTTTCTCTTATAAGCTGTTAATACTTTAAAATATACTGTATGAAACATGTCCTATCAGATGTTTCCAGCAGCAATTTCCACTGCCATCTGAGTCTCACAGGTTTCTTTTTTTTTTTTTTTAATAGAACAGCTTTAAATGAATCAGGGTATCTTGTAAAGGAAATGTTAATTAATGTTTTTTTTCTTTAAGAGGATTCTCTTTAACGTCACATATGTAATTGTTGGGCAATATTGTCCCAAATTGAACTGGAGAAACAAATTCAGTGTCTAAGGTCAGGTATTCATTCTGATAAAGAAATATGAAAAAGCTTTTGAGAAAACAGCCTCCTTCTCATCTACCCATGTAAAAAGAAAAAAAAAAGTTGAAAAGATCTCCTAATGCATCTCCCTTCATAATTCATGCCGAAAGATGACATTTTCTCAGGATCTTAATTAAGATAATGATGAACACCTGTGTCGGCATTCTTTGGCAAGACAGCATTATCCATCATAATCTTTTAAGTACTCTCAAAAAAACCCAACAAAATCGTATGACGGAACCAATCTGTTGCCTCTCCTTGCACTAAGTTTTACATCTCAGACACACAGAAGAATGATTAGATCTTTAAAGACTGCAATAAAAACAGGATCGTTAGATTTTAAAGTTTCAACAGAAAGTAGCTATTAAATTAATTAAATTGAGGTGTATCATATCCAAGATAGCCAAGTTTAACTCCATTCACTATAAGCCACCTGGAACCAAACCACTTAGAGTTAAAGCCCACCAATAGCTGTACTTTTAAACTACAGTTTGCTGTTACTTTCAGGATCATTCTGCCTCTTTCCACTTGTTTCTACCAGAAAGAAAATATTCTCAGCTGATCCCTACTGTACATTCATGCACTGATTTATTAAGCCATTTTATGCTGTACCCCGTTTGCACAATCTAAATGAAATCATGTAAAAGAAACCAGTGCAGAAAAAACAAATATGCAAATTCAAACGTTGCTATATTTTGGGTCACGTTTTGTGCAGTCATCTCAAATCCAAGTTCCTCTCATACCAAAAACCCCACTGGAGTCCAACTACTGAACTAACCAAAGACCCTTTTAACAGCTTTGCAGGACCAACCGATCAGACTGAAGGCTATAAACTAGGGATTTTAATTATTAATTATAGAAGCTGAATCTAAATTCACATGCCTACATTTAAATTACAGTTTACAAGAACAGTGCACAGCCAGACTGTAAATCTTTCCCACTGTTAAATTAGATTTTAAGGGCAAGTGTTTTTTCTATTGCATTAACAATTTATCTTCCAAAGAATTATGAGAAAAATATACAAAGTCCAGAACTTTAATATCAACCTGCACTGTCATAGTTTCACTGGCAGCTGCAAAATACACAAACTCCTAATGCCAAGAACTCATCCATACCTTCAAATGCACGTACCTTCAGCAAAAATGCAGAGAAGCAGCAAATGCATCCTCAAGCCCCACGTTTGTTAACAGCACTGATGAACAACGTAAGAGTCTTGAAACAAACTTCTTATTTTCCTTCCATCAAGTGGTTGAAAAGTCCTGCAAAGCAGATTAGTCTTAAGCTTTCACATTTTAATATGCTGCTATCAGAGGAAAAAGTTGCTGTGACTAGTCATTCAGTAAAGCTATCAATGTGCAAATAAAGCAGAAAATAGAGACATCCTTAAGAAATGAGTCTCAAATTTGATATAAAGTGAAGGTGACAACCACAGCAATAGAACTATAAACTAAATGTTTCAATATCTTGAATAATTATCTACAGTTCTTTTAAAACTGCAAAGAATATAATAGTGGCATAATGTAGTGAGAATGTCAGTTTGATAGGCACTTACAATCCTGACGGCATAAGAGTCCTATCACTACCGTTCATTAATCAGCTCTGGTATTATGTTTGCAAGGCATGAAAGTATGCATGAACTCACCACAGTTTCCAAAATGTATGCCTACAGAAGAAAGATTAGTGGAACATCAGAAATAAAGAGGGTAATTTTACATGACGTTAACCTTACCTCCTCTTCAAAAAAGTCAGATGCCATGGGAAGATGGTTTAAACTTCTGCTTCTTCCTACAAAGAAAGCAGCACGGAAAAGCAGTTAGTTATTCTACTCACATATAAAATGAATGTTAAACGTATAAAACTTGACCAGATGATATCTCACTCCCCGAACAAGGGGGATTGTCAGAGGATTATGACAGAAGAGCTTTCGAGTGGAGAAAGAAATGCAGTGCTCCAGAGCGATCGCTATAACGAAGCCGGGGACAAATACCGGTGACACCGTGCAGTCGAAAACTGATGAAAGTGCACACCTGTGTGGATTGAGCATGTAAGGGAGAGTGCGAGCCGGGGACCGACCTGTCCCGTTTGCCGGGGCAGAACCACACGGAGTTCAAAGAAACGAAATTCCGCACACCGCACATTAAAAAATTAAATTTAAAAAACAAAACAGGGGGCGAGAGAAATGCAAGAGGACGGAACGGCCAGACGGAGCGCGGCTCGGCAGCAGCCGAGGATGAGCCGAGCCCGCTGCGGCTCCGCCAGTCCCGGGAGCAGCGCGGGGCCGGGGCCGAACCGCGCCGCCCCCGCGGCCCGCAGCGCCTCCGCGCGCCGTCCTGTCAGCGCTGCCTCCGGGCTCCGCCGCAACCGCGCCCGTGCTGCCACCGCCCCTCCACGCCCCGCGCTGAGGGACAGGTCCACACGCCCGTGGAAGCAGCGCAGCGCCCGCCGCCGGCGGGGAACAGCCAGTCATGCGCCGGGACGGCCGGGGGCGGGCCTGGCGGGGCCGCGGCCTGATGGGTACTGTAGTGCGGGCAGGGCACGGTACCGGGGGCCACTCCGCTGTACGGCGGGCAGCCCCCGCCCCGCCGGCCGCGGTCGTGCCGCGTCGCCCCCGAAGGCAGCGGGGACAGCGCGCCCTTCCCGCCCAGCCCCGGCCCTGCAGCGCGGCCGCTCGGCAAGTGCCAGCCTGCGCCCGGCTGGGGGCTGCGGATGCAGCCGCCGGGACGGAGCCCCGGAGAGGGAGGGAGGGACGGAGAAAGCGGGGCGGCGTCGGTGTCGCCTCCACGGCGACACGGGGAGCTCCTGCCCCGGCCTGCCCGTTTTAAAACACACCCCTGCTCCTCGCGTCTCCGCGCACGTCCCGCGGGGAGCGCGGCGACAGCATTACGGTCGGGAAATGCAAAAGTTACAAAATAAAATAAATTTGGAAAATATAAATCCTGTGCTATTCCCCCCTCCCTCGACCGAGAAAGGCACGGCGGATCCCGATGGCCAGGGGTCCGCGGCCGCTGGAGCAGCTCCTTTCCTCAACCGCAAGGGAAAAAATATGCGAGAAGGGAATAAATCGGGATATGTTTCTATTGAGAAATATATCTGGTGGAATCACAGGAGATTACATCTTCTGATCGGCAGGGATTTATCCCGGTTCATATGGTTTTAATCTGCTTTCGCCTCGACCCTTCATTGAGCCGAGGGCGGGGGGAGGATACCCGGTGTGTTCCTCAGATCCGCGGGCAAACCCTCGCTCTGAGCGGTGTCTGCGGACCCATCTCAGCCCCCTCCGCTCCCCTCCGATCGCCCTTCTCCTGCGGCCGGCGCTGGGAAAGACTAAATCCGAGCCCTCCGCCAAGCTGGTCCCCGCTCCTGGCCGGACCCGCCGCCGCTCCGCCCGCACAGCCGCCGCAACAGGTCCGGTGGCGGGGTGGCCCCTGCCCGCGGGACTGACCGGCCGAGCAGCCCAGGGACAGGCTCTTCCCCGACGAAAACCTCCTTTTTTGTTAAGAAAATCAAAACTAACAGCACCACCAGCCCGCCGCATATCCCACCTCCAATGATTTAGCGGAGGGAGGGGCAGGGGCAGAGAGCACGAGGAGGGGTGGCTGTGAAGAGGGGGAGCCGGGCGGCTAATAAATCTTATTAAAGATCTATTTTTTTTTTCATATACTGATTGGCTTGCATTCCGGCGCAACGCGGCTCCGCATGGTATTTAGCACATGCAGAAAGTTGGAGCTGATCTTAAATGGCTCGGAGGTGACTGCAATCCAGGAGCCGGCGCACTTGAGCCTCTGAGCGCTGGGGAGGGCCAGGGAAGCGCGGAGCCCTCCCGCTGGTTGGGCCCGGCCGCGGCAGCCCAGCGGGGTCCTGCCAGTCCTTCCACTGACAACACCCCGCGAAGGAGGAGCCTCGCCGGGCCGTGCTGAAGGCGTCAGGAGCTGCAATTTCCAACTTAGCATCTTGGCAGGACCCTTCGGAAAGCGAGAGCGAGGAGGAAGGGGGAAAAAAAAAGCCCCCCAGTGCAAGGGGGAGAGAGAGAGAAAGAGAGGAGGGGGGAAGGGAAAGAGGGGAAAGCAAAGGGGGGAGAAAAAGGAGGAAGCGGTGCCCGGCTGCAGGCGAAAGCGGAGCAGCAGCCCCGGCGCAGAGCAAGGTGCCGCCTCTGCCCAGCTGGCGAGGGCGGAGAGGCGCCCGCGAAGCCCCGGCCGCAGCCGCCCCAGCCCGGCAGCGCGGCGGCTCCCTCCCGGCGCCTTGGGCTCCCGGGTATATGTGCGCGCCTGGCCATGTCGTATCCTCAGGGTTACTTGTACCAGCCGTCAGCGTCCTTGGCTCTCTATTCCTGCCCGGCGTACAGCACCAGCGTGATCTCCGGACCCAGGACCGATGAACTTGGGAGATCTTCTTCGGGCTCCGCTTTTTCCCCTTATGCCGGATCTACCGCCTTTACCGCCCCTTCCCCGGGTTACAACTCCCACCTCCAGTACGGCACCGACCCGGCCGCCGCCGCCGCCGCCGCCTTCACTTCCTACGTGGTAAGAGCAGCCGCGGGCAGCCGACACCGCGCCGGGCACGACGGCATCCCGTGGGCGCCTGTCCCCCCCTCCCGGGCCTGCTTTTTGTTCCCATTTTATTTTTGAGATCTCGGGGACAAAAGGGAGCGCGGCTCCCCGCCTCGCCGCCCAACTTTCCCGCATCGCCGCCGTGCCCTGCCTCACACTGTTGCTGGAGGCAGCGGCGGGCAGGGCCGGGCGCGGGGGGAGCCGCCGGCACGGCCCGGGTGATCAGGACCTGGGCAGGCGGGGACCGGTTTCATTCCCTTAAAAAAAATAAACTAAATGTATAAAAAACACCAATCATAGTTCTGCAACAATTAGCTTGTTGTGATTGAAAAGGGAATGAACTCAGCACGGGTCGGCGATGGGAGAAATCCGGGTAATAAATCCAGGCAACTTTCCCCTGCCCGGCGATAATTAGGCTTAAATATTGCAGAGCTTTAATGCCATGGCCGCGAGCTGCTCCGCGGGGCTGCGCGGGGAAGGCAAGGGGAAGGGAAGGGGAAGGGAAGGTAGGGCACTGCGCCGCCGTGCGCGCCCGCGGGGCACCGCGGGGCCAGTCCGAGTGCGGGACATCCACACCGCAGAGTTGCGGCCACAGCCAACGCCCCTCAGTTCCCCCCAAAAACCGTCGACTTTGGCTCAGCTTCTCCTCTATGTTTAGGGCAGAGTTTTACAGTTCCTTCTTTCCTTTTTCTGTATCCTTTTCTTTCCTTCTGCCTTTTTTATTTTTGCCGTTCTTCCCCCCTTTTTTGTTTCTCTTTTATCTTCTTTTCTTCTCTCTTTTCTTCTCTCTTTTATTTTCTCCTCCTCCCGTCCCCGGGCAGGGAGGAGCGGCCCAGCCCGCCCGGCCGCCTGGGCCCGGCAGGTTGTCTGCTGCGATCGCAGCGCGGGGGGAAGGCTCCGGTCCCCCTGCCGCTGCCCACTTGCTTTTCCGCTCCTGCATTTGGGGGAGAACCGCTGGATTGCTGCAAGCAGCCGGTGGTCTCCTGGGGTCGGAGACTACGGGCCCCGGAGAGCCCCAGGGCCCTTCCTCCCGGGAAAGAACCGGGGGACAAGGCGGGCAGGGCCCGGCGCCGGGGGAGAGGCGGCGGGGCGCGGGCAGGGGCTGCGGGCAGGCCCTGGCGCTGCCTGTGCCCTGTCATTGCCGCCCCGCGGCCGCTGACCTCGCCCCGCCGGGCCGCTCTCCCCTCTCTCCCCAGGGCTCGCCCTACGACCACACGCCGGGCATGGCCGGTTCCCTGGGGTACCACCCGTACGCGGCGCCGCTCGGCTCCTACCCCTACGGGGACCCCGCGTACCGCAAGAACGCGACGCGGGACGCCACGGCCACCCTCAAGGCCTGGCTCAACGAGCACCGGAAAAATCCCTACCCCACCAAGGGCGAGAAGATCATGCTGGCCATCATCACCAAGATGACCCTCACCCAGGTCTCCACCTGGTTCGCCAACGCGCGGCGGCGGCTCAAGAAGGAGAACAAAATGACCTGGACCCCACGAAACCGCAGCGAGGACGAGGAGGAAGAGGAGAACATCGACCTGGAGAAAAACGACGAGGACGAGCCCCAGAAACTGGAGGAGAAGGGGGACCCCGGGACTCCGGACACAGGTAGGACAGCGGGCTCGGCCGGGTCACGGCGGCCGCGCCCTCGGGGCTGCCCCGGCCCGGTGCGGTGGCGGGCGGCCTGTTCCCCCGAGCGTGCAGCCGGGGCGGGGGGAGCCGGCGGGCAGCGGAGCGGGCCTGGCCACGGCGGGGACCGAAGGGTGGGCGGCGAAGTGGGTGGGCGGGTTTGGGGGCGCAGGGCGAGACCGAGAGCTGCCCCCCCACCCGTGTCCTTTCTCCCCCTACCAGGAGCGGCGGATCCCAAGGCAGCGCCGGGCTGCGAGCGCCTCCAGGAGTCCCCCGGCCCCCGGGAGGCCGAGAGCGGCCTCAGCGACTCGGATTGCAAAGAGCTAGCGGAGGAGCGGCTCGACGGGCCGCTCGTGCCCCTCAAGGCGCCCGGCGCTTCCCCGCTGGGACCGTGTCCGGCGGGCCGCGAGGAGCCCCCGCCGTACCGCCCGCCCTCCGCCGCCGCCGGGCCGCCGCACGCCGCCGACCTGCACCCGCTGCTGCCCGCCGCCACCGGCGCCTCTGTCATCCACTCGCCGCAGCAGGCGGCCCTCGCCAAGCCCAAGCTCTGGTCGCTGGCCGAGATCGCCACCTCGGCGGACAAGGCTAAGGAGGCCGGCGGCGAGGCGGCGCCCCCCGGCCCCGCCGTGCTGGGCGGCAGCGGCCCGTCCCGCTCGCCGCCGCGGCCGCGCTCGCCGGCCGCGCAGTGCTCCTTCCCCAACGGGGCGGTCCTGCCCCGGCCGCTCTACTACACGGCGCCCTTCTACCCCGGCTACACGAACTACGGCTCCTTCGGGGCCCTGCACGGGCACCCCGCCGGCGGGCCCGCCGCCGCCGCCCCCGGCGCCCACTTCAATGGATTAAATCAGACTGTCCTCAGCAGAGCCGAGAGCCTGGCTAAAGACTCTAAAATGATCAGGAGCCAGTCCCAAGTAGACCTTTGCAAAGACTCACCTTACGAACTGAAGAAAGGTATGTCCAACATTTAATATCGGCTTCTCCTCCCTAACCCCTCCTGGGACTGTGGTTTTGTTCCTTTTATTTTTTTCCCCTTTTTTAATTTATTTGAGAGAAATAATAAATTGCTTTGGCAGTTATTTTTCCAGTACCAAAAGAAAAACAAAACAAACAGAAA